TGAACCCGTCCCACCTCGTTGCCGTTTACATCAGCGGTGAAGGATGATAAATTATTTATCGTTATTCACTCCTGTGTATAGATAATTATCTAGCTAGCGGATGTACAGGGACGTGAGACGTTCATTCACTGTGTTTCACCTGAGAGCTCTCGCATGCGTGTGCGACGTCTGCTAAAAATGTCAAAATTGTGCATCATAGTGGAATCGCTGCCTCCCAATGACAGTAACAATGACAGTGACAATGAAATTGAAAATGACAATGATAATTAACAATGGTGGAACAATGAAAGCTATGACGTCTGTGTACCAGACTCTCCCTTCAGCACAAGTACGAACGTGTCGGCCTTGGCTACGGCTATGGTACGGCATTCGGGAAAATATTCTACTAGTTGCCTCACGTAAAGCCTGAGCGCACACTGCGAGCAATTTTCCCGAAGCAAATGTTTTTTCGTCCGACAAAATGTTTTTGTTCTGGCACATGTGCGGTGTAACCTGTATGATACAGTGCGGTTGTTCCGTTTCCGCTTCATACACTTCACCAGATCGTCATTTAGATAAATCTCGGTGTAGGGAATCCAGATTAGTGTGTATCAAGAATGTAGGTGTCTAGATAAGGTGGGGTGTGTATAATAAGTGTATTAGGAGTATCAGATGCGGGGGTACCCGATATCTGGGTTAGATTAGTGTAGTGAAGCGGACACATACCGCCTATTATCATACAAGTTTAATGATGCGGCTCGCGCCCTATCCTGTTGAACAATTGCTGAGCACACGATTGCCGAACATTATTGCAGCGAACAACTCGTGGCGCCGCGTCTAGTAGACGTGTTGTTAAAGAGTCACGGTTGATCGGGGTGATGGCATCGGCGACGTTGGCGTATAGGCATTTACAAACTGTTCCTAGAATTGTTCGACATTCAGCGCACACTTGACGAACATTTCGACGAACAATTGCGAGATATCAAACATTTGCGATCTTCAGAAACATTGTTTCGCGAACAAATGTTCGGCGAACTTTTTCCCGCACTTTGCCGAAACATTCATGGAACAATTCATACGATAATGTTTTTGAGCAAAATGTTCGGCATGTGGCGCCCGGGCTAACTCCCACGTGGCAACGGTGTGTCCGTGACGTGCGTGCGTGCGTCGTGTGCATGTGTCGTCGCGCGTGCGTGGTGACACCCCCACGGCTACGCACAGATAGCGTGTGATGATGCAAAAACAAACTGGGGTCCGGGATCTGGACGGTACGAACAGGCGAAACACTGCCTGAAGCTACCAAACCCCAGCATCAGAGAGCTACGCTGAAACCACAAACGCGCCTACATACGAATTTAAGGAGATGCCACACACATATTTTGAGGCCAATCTGTAGTTTCTGGGCCATCAAATTAGTAGCTTCGAGGGGTCACGTAGTGACACGAGTGCTAGGGGGGTTCCGGCATGACCCCCCGAAAAATTTCTGGGATTCTGAGATGCAATGTTCCTGCATGCGTCAAAAATGACAATATGTGACAACAAAATTTTTCGATACAGTGAAACTCCTAGTTTTATACAAACTGGTCCGTAGTGGTGCAAAAAGTGATATAGAAATTCGTTATAAAAATACGGATAAATCGTATGGTGGTTGGCATCTCTGCATACGTATATTCTATACCATAGTAGTGTAGATTCCTTGTTCATCGGTAGACACAGTAAAACGCACGCCAGATGAAATACAGTCCCCGGCCGACCGATCCAAAAAATTTTGTTATTATAAAGTAAAATAATAACACGCGTGATAGACAGTTTCAAAATAGTTAGATACGATACGTAGTTATAATATTATATTCCATGTGTGATAATCATGTGTAATAACATAGTACACGTGTAATAATGTGTGATACTATAGTTACTTATAGTACATGTGTAATATTATGTAATATTATAGTGCATTTGTAATATTATGTAATACTTTGTAATTACGCTATATACTGCGCCTGTGGTTTATTTACCTGTGGTTACTTTGATCTGCCTATCGACCAATACTTAGTGGGTGAAGGTGGGGGGATCACTTCAACCACATAATCATGGATTTTACTATAAATTTACTCATAATTATTATCAAAAATAAAATTAAACATATTAAATCAAAAAATCTCTCGACTTAACCGTCTGCCAGAGCGGCCACGCAAACTCTTACATCGAAACGACCCCTCGGCACTTTTCACAATGCGGGACGGTCCCTAAAAGAGCTCGCAAGCGGATGCAAAGCCCCACTAGTTAGACAAAATTGCCCTCGATGGCTGTCACTCCTATTTCACGTGAATTAATGAGCTAGCAATGCAGGGTCGCGTCATAATCTTTCTCTGCTTATTCTTCCACACTCAGAATCAACATTCCGTACAGTGTTAACAGGGTAAAACCAAACATTTAACACGTGCACAGCTAATACGTAAACATAAACAACTCGGATAAAAAAAATACTATGCAACAGAAGATGAAATGGGTAATTTCCAGCCGGCGTGCGGAGTGGCCAGTGTTACGGGATATCATGGGGTGTTCTAATGGTGGAAGCTGCTGCAGGATTCATCCCCTATAGGGATAGGGATTCCCTATTATCTACTTCTGATATATATACAAACATATATAAACCTAAGTAGGTACTCATATAGATATTATATATATTTGTATATACTATGATGGCATGCACTATGACATATACCACACCACGCACGCACACACGGCACGCACGCACACACGCACGCAACGCACGACAACAAGCCGCACACACAACACACGCACGCACACACGCACGGCACGCACGCACGGCACACACACACACACACACCACGATCAGCCAGACACCTCAAGGCAAAGTTCTTGATGCTTCGTGAACGACATAGAAATACAACAGGTTGCAGTACAAAAAAGTACGTATGCGGCTGTTAAGTGTTAACCCACTTCGTCTACAGTGCTGATTCTCTATAGAGACTAGAGCACCACTAGTATTTGTTCAATCATTACCTATATACAAGTGAACACGCTACATGTTACGGCCTGAATTATATAACCGGATGACAGCGAGGCCAATGTGTTTGTTACTCTAGCAACCAATATCACATCTTATCAAGAGCTAATAAAATATGTATTGTTAGCTTTCGATCTTACAAACAGCAGTTACAAACAACAATCTATGCAGTTAACTTAATCGAGGTGAAATCTGACAACGGGTGCAACCCTACGCAACATATATATTCATTAATTAATATTGTATAAATGTTGCTCAGTAGTATCTATGGTCCCCTGACCTCTGTTTGACCTGGCTCGTTACTATTTCTACTACCTAACCCTTACCCTATATATATTATATATATATATATATATCTTATATATATATTAGTCAGAAATAGCTAAACGAGCCAGGTCAAACAGAGGTCAAGGGGACATAGACCTTATCTGCATAAATGTTCGCTACGGACGCCTGGGTGGTTCGTTTGGTTCGTTTGCAACAACAAGGTGTAGCTCCAAGAAACAACAAAAGACTATAATGTATAGCTGTCATTGGTTGCACACGGCCTCTCCGGACTATATTGTCTATATCTATTTGTCTTTATCCTTTAGCATTTGTCTATATCCTATCTTTTACTGCGTATACATGCCCCGTTTATTCAGTGCTACGGTACAACACGTACCAATCATGATCATGAGCTATTACTCACACAGACGGGGAAAAATCATCAAAAGCTCTTATGAATTTAAATCCGGCAGACAGCGTAGCCCTGCAAAGAGGTTTGTATTGCTATGTTATCGCATCTGACGTGAGTTAGGTGGTTCGACTATGTTGAATTTACAAGGGCTTGGTGTACGCTTGCAGATAATACTTCTTATCTCTTGAAGTGCAATATTTCACGCAACACATAGAAAGGTCAAGCGATAAAAATATCATATACGTGCATATGCCGAAGTGTCATTTTTTACAGTAGATTTTGTGAATAAAAATATTAGTTGCTTAACTGTCAGAGCGTGCTACGATAAAAAAAAAAAGGTAAAAAAACTGTATAACAGATCATACATATATACAACATATATTATATAATATATGATATCATATAATAATATATATATATAATTATATAATATATTATATATATCAACAGATATATGTATAAATGTATGATAATGTATAACGTATATATGTATAATGTTAGTTAAAATAATAGATTGTATTATTAATTCTTGATAATGTACATGTATGTACATATGGGTAATTTCCAGCAGGCGTGCGGAGTGGCCAGTGTTACGGGATATCATGGGGTGATCTAATGGTGGAATCTGCTGCAGGATTCATCCCCTATAGCTCTCTGATGGACAAGTCACAGCCTGACACGCACGACA